GTCACCACCCGCGCGCCCCGCCCGCTTGTCCTCCGTGATGGACTCATGACGGCCGACACGCAGAATTAGCACGCCGCGAACATTGGCGCGCTGTCTCTCTCGCACCCCCGCGTCGGCCCCGCGCCCCGCGAGTGCGGCATGGGTTCGGAATCGGCACTCGGGGCTCCGGAGCACTCTCGGAAACGGGAAATGAGGCTGCCGTCGCCCTTCGTCGGCCGGGCTGGCGGGGCTGGCGGGGCTGGCGGGGCTGGCGGGGCTGGCGGGGCCCGTTGGGCGCGAGGCAGGGCGTCGATAGGCCGCCGCTTATTTCTTCCTGAATCGTCCCTGAATCGAGAGGCGGAGAGAGAAAGGGGAAGGGGGAAGGGAGGGTGGCACATTCCGGGCAACGCTCTCGCCGTGCTGGACGCTTGCCACTGCAGAACGATTCCGAGAGTCGTTTTCGTCGCTGTCTCTCTCGCACCTGTGGGGGGACGCCCCCATGAGTGCGAGAGAGACAGAGCGACGAAAACGACTCTCGGAATCAGTCCGCTGCCGAAGATGCGCGCACCGCGCGCGCACTGCTGCTGCTGCGCGATGAGATGCACACTGCAGCAAAGCGAGCGGAGAGAGGCCCCCGTCTCTAGGCTTTGCCAGCCGCGGTGCGCCGCGGCGCGCCCCGCCACACCCCGCCACGCCCCGCCGAGCCAGCCCGCATCGTCGGGACACCCAGCGAGCGCGTCACCGTCGTCGCGGAAAAGATTTCTCATTCCCCTTTGCTGCTGCCTCCCGAAGTAGTGGTGACATGTGAGTGATAGCGTCATGATAAGCGACCATCCCCGCCACCCGTACGAGCACTCACACACAGAAGAACACAGACACACACACACACACACTGACAACTGAGAACTCAGACCGGCCACAACACGCACACATACGGGCGATCATGATGAGCGCTGCATCGGCCCAGCCCCCCAAACCCATTAGCGGCGGGGCGGCCTTCCCGCAGCACTGCGCCGCGCTGCTGTGAAAAGTCAAAAAGTGTCCGAGCGGGCTGCAGGGGGAGCGAGGAGGAGACCGGTGAGGACGGGACGGAAAGGGGAGGGGACGAGCAGGCGTAATCAATTTTTTACCGGCTGGAATCAAAGCAACACGACGACGCGCCAATCCTCGTCCTGCAAAACGAGCTCATTGCGATTAATCAACAAATTATGGGGTCGCCGCCGTGGGGCCGTGCCAAGAGATGGCGGCGGCGGTGGTGATGGTGGTGATGGTGGTGGTGCTGGTGGTGGTGGTCGTGGTAGTGACGGTGTTTCCCCTGCCCTTTTGCAAGTCAGCGCGGCCCGCGGCCGGAACGGCCTGCACTGCACGCACAGGACGCGGCCGCGGCCAGCGCTGTTTGGATTGATAACAACGCACTCGAAAATCGGAAGTCGTCACTCCGGCGGATACGCCGCAGCGCCGCTAGCGGGTGTGAGGGAGCGGACAGCGGACGACTAAAAGAGAAAAGAAAGACGATTTTTGTCGAACAAGAGGTGAGAATTTGTGCGACGTCCGAGGAGAGCAAGTCGGTGCCGCTCACTTGGCCCTTCGGGTTGCATTACGGCCAAACTGCCGTCGTCGCTGCGCAAGTGCTGCGCGCTGCGCATGTCGGTGGAGCACTGCTTGAGCGCATACGTGATGTGGCACGCGGCGCAGGGGCCACAGAGACGACGCAGACGCACAGTGACGTCGCCAAACTTGGCGGAAACTTGCGATGCACCGCCAGCGGCCGCCCGCAGAACAACACTCCACAGTGGGCCAGAACCGGTGGAGGCGGCCAAAACTCTAGGCGCGTTGACGCGTTTTGAGCTCCAGAGTCGCTAAACAGGACTCAAACCGAGCGTGTGACCCCACCAATGGATTCCCCGTTCGGAGAGCAATCCATTGATGGGGTCACACGTTCGGTTCGAGTCCCATTTGGCGACTCTGGAGCTCAAAACGCGTCCGGAATTTTGGCCAGGTCCACCGGCCTTCCCGTGCACTCGCATCCACGCCGACGGGGCGCCGAAAGAAGGCCGACGGAAGTGCGGAAGCGGGGAGGCGAGGCGCGTGGCGGCGGATTCGGCGCAAATTAAGGCGAAGAGCATGCGAGATGCGAGGGCCCCCCGCGGAGGCGCGGAGCATAGGAGCAGGGCCACCTCCCCGCCAGCGCCGCCAGCGCCGCCCTCGGAGCCATCGTCTGGCCTTTTCCTGCAGGAGCTCAGCGCGGCTGCTGGAGGCAACGGCGCGACGCTAGAACTGAGAGAACTCGCTTGGAGATTATCTCTCCTGGGGTGCCGTGCCGCGCCGCCGCGCCGTGTACAGTGCCGAAGGAGCTCTCTCGCCAGTCGCCGCTACAGCTATACGACGACCCCCTGGCAACAACAACGACAAAGTACGTGGCGTGCGTGTGTGAGTGAGCGAGCGCGTGCGTGTGTGTGCTGGGACGGTGTCCTGGCTCATCCTCGCCAAGGCGCGCCAAGGCGGCGTGGCGCGCCAGTCGTCGCCAACCCTCCTCGACGACGACGCGGGGACTCGCTCGACGACGGGGAGGGTCACAAAGCGTTCCGCGCGGCACGGCGTCGACGCGACCCCCGGCCGACCCAATTGCACTGGTCGTCTCTCTGTCTCTCTCCTCGGCCGGCCATCGTCTTGGCTGTCTTGACGGTCTTGACCCCCCGCGGAGACACCACGACGACGAGTAAACGAAGCTGCCCCGCGCCGCCCCCGCAGTCTCATCAAGGCCCCTCGTGTCCTAGAGTCCTCCCTCGCCAAGCCTCGCCCGGTGGCGCCTGTGGCCGACGAGCCTGACAGCGCCATCTACCTACCTAGACAGTCCTTGACAGTCCCTGACAGGCATTGTCTCGGCTCCGCCCCACCGGCGCTACTGCCTGCTCTGCCCCTCGGCAGGTTGGCCAGCGAAAAGGCACAGTCGGTTTGACTGGTGATGGTGACACCACCGCAGCTGCAACGGCACGCCCCCGCCCGCATCCTGATGGCCAGGCAGGTCGAGGAGCGCGTCCGCGTCAGCCCCGCCAACTCCCTGGCGATCCGGTGACACTTCCCCCACCGCTTCCCTTTTTTTTTCCCGCCCCGCGGGTCCACGCCGGTCGGCCGGTCGGGCTGGTCCCGCCGTCCCGGTCCCGCCGTCCCGGTCCCGCGGCCGAATCGCGGGGACAAAAACTGGCGGGCCTGGGAGGGCTGCCAAACCAGAAGGGGTTCAAGTTGATTGCCTGAGAGCAGCAGAAAGCGGAGAGGCGCGAGAGGCCCGGAGGGTCGGTCTGTCTGCCTGTTTGTCCGTTCGTCCGCTCGTGCGCTCGTGCGCACTCGCAGGTGAGGGAAGCTCCGCACAAAGTTCTTTCAAAACGTGTCGAACCCAGCGAGGTCTTTAGTCCTTTCGGAGAGGTCCTTTCGGAGAGGTCCTTTCGGCAAGGTCCTTTCGGCAAGGTCCTTCCGCAAGGTCCTTTCGCGAGGTCCTTTCGGGAGGTCCTTTCGCGAGGTCCTTTCCCGAGGTCCGCGAGTCCCTCCCTCCCCGGCCGGGCATGACGGACGCAGGGCGGAACGGCAAATAGAATAACCCGCCGGCGCCCCTTCCTCAATAAAACGTGTCACAAACCGCCAATAATCGTCGTCAATTTATCTGTCAGCCTCGATAAAAACGCCGCTGCGGGGGACGCGGTACCGCGGTGCGCGCCGCCCACCAGTACACACCGGGTACAGAGACGAGCGGAGCCGCGGCGAGGGCGGTGCCGAGGCCCAGCCGGGCCAGCGGGAGCCGAGCCGGGCCGAGCGGCATCGCGATCGTTAGGCTCATTTAGCAACGCGCAATTTCCGGATTACAAGTGAAGCAGGCGAAGCGGGGCGGCAGAGCGTGCGGCGCGCTATCTGGAGCGGCGGGAGGACGACGCCACGCGGACGCCACGCGCTGCAAATGTCTCTGTCTCTGTCGCACTCATGGGCCGCGCCGTGGGGGTGCGAGAGAGACAGGGTGAAGAGTCAGGCCGGGGGCGCCTGGCCTGCCTCCACTCCGTTTAGAGTACTGTATCGATTCGTCACGCATTTTACAACGACGGGGACGTGCCCCGCGGCTCCTCTTGTTTTGACAGGACAACGCACGGCGCTGCAGCGCGCCGCGGCGGAGGGAAACATTCCTGAAGTCAGCCGACACGGCACAGGTAGGCGTGGAGAATCGCAGCGCCGTGGCCAGGTGAGGGAAAAAGACAGGAACGCAGACACCTTCCAAGCCACGTCTGTCTCTCTCAAGCCGATACGGCAGGAGTGCCGTGAGTGCGACAGAGACAAGAGCCTGTGGGGTTGGTCGCGCGAGCGCCGATCTGCACTGAGGCCGCCCCGGGCCGCCCTAACGACTCCGTGGAGGCAGCGGTAATGAAGATGGCAGGCAGCGTTTGGGCGGCACTGCCCTGCCACGCTCTGCCCTGGCGAAGGCTGAGTAGAGCGTGTTCAACAGCCCGGCCACCCCGCCCCATCGGGAAGGATGCACCCCGCCGCGGGCCCCGACGGCTGGGGCGGGGCGGGGCGGGGCGGGGCGGGGGCGGGGCGGGCGGGGCGGGGCGGGCGGGCGGGCGGATGGCGGCGGGGGAGGGAATCGCCTCGGCTCATTGCAAGCTTGCCGACGGCCACGCCGACGGCGCCTGCAAGTTGAGAGAGCGACGGCCTTGCCGCCGTGCCTTGCCGCCGCGCCGCCCCACCCCCGCCAAAACAGCTGAATGCAAAGGCGTACGAGACGCTGGTGGAAAAGGGACACAAAAGTACCGTTGGCTGTCAGTCACTGTGGTTGTCGCAATACACCCCGACCCGGGCCCCGCCCCGACTAAGGCCCCGGCGTCGCCAACTTGCGCGCGAGTTCTGGCATGGCTGTAGCCTCGAAGCGGAATGGAAATGCGGATATCCACTCCACTCGGCGTCGCTCTCGGCCAACAAGGCAGCTACTTTGTCGAGAACCCAGTGACATGGCCGCGACGCGGCGTCACTCCGTCACTCACCTGGCGGACACGTGCAGTCGGCCGCGCTGCGAGTGTAGATCCTGTCGCGGCCGTGTCCGTCGCGGCCGAGGCCCTCGCGGCCCTCGCGCGGCGGCGCGGCCCTGGGCAGCCTCCTGGCGATGCGCTGCTCCACGTCGCGACGCAGGCGCTCCACGATGACGCCGGGGTACTGGTCGGCGCGGTACAGCGCCTGCAGGCTCTGCTCCTCCAGGCGGCGCTCCAGCTCGCCGAGCCGCGCCTCCAGGACCGTGTCCCGGTAGCCGAGGTAGCCGCTGGCGGCCAGCGACACCAGGCACAGCGCGGCCAGCAGCCAGGACGCGCCGCCGTGCGACGCGAGGGGCGCGCCGCCGGCCCCGCACGACGAGGACGACGATGACGATCCGCGCCGCTTCTTCTTGAGTCCGCCGGCCCAGCAGCGGCCTGCCTCGTCCACGTGCACCGCCCCCTTGGCGCCCTGGGGGCCCTGGGTGCCCTGGGGGGCAGGCCGGGCCGAGGGGGCCCCCTGTGGGGCGCCGCCACCGGCCACGCTCTCAGAGTCCAACATGACGGCCTAGAGCGCCACCAGCCGCACGCTCACTGTCATGACACTGTCACCACTGCCGCGGCCACAAAGCCAACCACTGCACTGTATCCTCACTTCACCTCATAGCACTACACGACACAGACGCGAATACACGGACGCACTCACAGACAGACAGACAGACAGAGAAAGAGACACACACGGGCCGCGTGGCCGGAGGGTTGCTGGGGCTTCTCGGCGTTTACGTAAAGACGAGCGGAGCGGTGCAGCGGGCGGAGCGCGGAGCGGCGCGGACGAACAACCTCACTGCTCGCACGCCAGAACGCGACTGAATCGCCCGCCCCGCCCCGCCCCCGCCCCGCCCCGCCCCCCCCCGCTCGCCCCGCAGGCCCGCGCAGCCAGCGCGCTCTGGCGGCCGCGCCCGGCACCTCCCTGCCGCCGGCTCCTCTCTGTCTCCGTCTGCCTCATTGTCGCCCGCCTCGCCCCGTCCCCCTCGCTGCGTCTCACACGCACGCACAGGCTGCTGCTGCTGGAGACATGTGACGGTGGGTCCCCCTGCGCGCTTGATGGATGGAGACATAAGTCTCGAGGCGAAAGAGTGAGGGGTGAAAGGAATTTCGGGTGTCTTAAACGTTGTGTGAAATACAAATCTCGAGTCGGGCAGCCGCAGGCAGCCGGGCCGGGATGGTGATGGTGTGTGATTAGAGGCGGGAGTCTGTCGGCTCGCCTCGGCCGCGGGGGTTGGGGGTGGGGGAGGAGGAGGGGGCTCGTGTTTAGCTCGTGTGGGGAGAGCCGCGCGGGAAGAGTGTGGCGTGTGGAGCCGGGGCTGCCAGGGCCACTAATGAAAACGAATCGAACGCTGTACATCGTGGCTCGGATCGGATTCGCGGTCCTTGACAAGCCATTGACACGTGCAGGCGTGGCAGGCGGCAGGCGGTCCATCACAACGCGATGTGAGAGGCCGGCCACCACACCACTCCGCCACCGCCGGCGCACTGCCACTGAGACACGCAGTGCTGCGCGTGCTGCGCTGTGCCGCGGGCCTCAAAGTGCCTCAACTCAAAGGCACCGGGCTCTGGCTTCCTCGCCATCCCGACCTGGGTCAACAATGAGCTGGCGTGGCCGCCGTGTGCCGCCGCAAATAGGACTCGGTGGCGCCCCGCCCCGCCCCGCCCCGCCCCGCCAGGGTCAACGGAACGCCCCGCATCGCCCTGCACACACGGCAAGTGGGTCGGACTTGGCGCGCCGCCCCGTTCAATAAGGCCATAAATCCGGTCCCTTTGTTCGTCGAATTTCGACTAATTGACGTGTGAGTCGCGCGCGCGCTAATTCCGCGCCATCCACGCCCATGTCGTCGTCGCTTTCTCTCTCGCACTCGCGGGGCAGACCCGGGTAGCGACGAAGCGCTGCGCGGGATGAGCCTGCTGCCGGAAGCGGGTGTTGTGGCAGTGTAGCAGCATCCCTGCGCGCAGCGATGCGACCCGCCCGCCGGAGGCGCACGATGGGTTGCCTACCCGCCCGGCGCCCCAGCACCCTTCAGCCTTCGGCGGGCAACCCGCGACTCCCTCCGGCCTCCGGGTTACTCATCCAGCTGCCAGCCAAACTAATGCCACTATCGTTTTGCATCATTTATGCAGGCCGCGGGCCGCGGGCCGCGCTGCCAGGCCGTGTCTCTCTTGCACTTGGCGGGGCGGGCGGGGCGCGCTCGCAGAGTTCGCTCCAATAAATATTCATCGCTGTCTTTGTCAACACAATGACCCATTGGAGCGCGGCGGCCGCGCGGGCGCGGTGCGGCGCCGTAACTGTCCGAGTGAGTGTCCGCGGTTGCGGGGCTCTGGCCGGCGGACGACGCCGAGGTGCACAAGAGGGCCGAGGTGTCGGCCGCCGCGCTGCTTCGCGCCGCCGGATGCGGAAGGGGAGGACAATAACCGGCATAAAACGCCGAGTCGAGCCGGCGTGGGACGCGCGAAACGGCGCCAAATAACACCGGAGAGGCTCAAGTAAGTGCGCGGCAGGCTGGCTCGGAGAGAGAGAGAGAGAGAGAGAGAGAGAGAGAGAGAGAGAGAGAGAGAGAGAGAGAGAGAGAGAGAGAGAGAGAGAGGTAGACGACTTAGCACTGCTCAAAATGAGCTGGTCACAGGCGTGTAGCCCGGGAGGAAGCCCGTAGCCCAATAGAATTTCTGGCCAAGAGCAGGAAATGGTTGAGCGAACCACACCGGAACCATTTCGTCTCGCTCCGGGCCATCGGAGTTGCCCTTTTCGGAGGTTGTTTCCTTTGCAAAAACCAGCAATCCCCTCTTCTCTCCGCGGTGCTGCCTGCAGCTACCCTCCACGCCATGGGGCTGAGAGTGGGGCGCGGCGGCAGCTGGCGCCGGCAGCATGGCCCCTGCACTACAAGCCGGTCCGCAATACATACAGAGCAAACAAGCGCGGTGCATGCTGGGACCCATGCCGGGACGCGGCACGGCGGCGCATGCATCACAGTCCATGGTTTGTGCATGGGGCGGGGCCGGCGGGGCCGGCTGGGCCAATTTCGATCACGCCATCAGCAGACCGCAGCCCTCTAGCACGGTCAAAAAAGGGCCCCCGTCCGCCGGCCTCAGCCCCCTCGCCGTGGGCCTCGCCGTCGTGGACCTCACCGCAGGACTCACCGTCGTGGACCTCACCGTGCGCCTTGCCGTCGTGGGCCTCACCATGTGCCTCGCCGTCGTGGACCTCGCCGTCGACCAGCGGCCAACCCCCCGCGGATCCGTCGTAACCTGCGCCGGCGACAACGCGGGCGTTGACTCCGTCCACCGGGTGGCGCCCCGGCGGCCCCTCTCACCCGTGGCCGTTTTCATCTCCTAGATGACCGCCATCACGTGTCAAAGCCGCCCCCTCCGCCGAACGATAAAAGATGCCCCCGAGTCGTCGCTGGGGGTGGGGGCAGGACGGGGCAGGACGGGGCCGAGGCCCTGGGGTTGGCACTGTCCGTCCTCCGGGGTGAGAGCCATGAGTGGCTCACATGTGTTTCCGCAGCCGGGCCGGCTATGCCTCGGTCCATGCCGAGCACGTATTAGGAGTGGAGGCTCTTTCGTGCCAATATCGCCTGATACGGGCTGCAACATGTGTGCGATCCAGCAGCAGCGGCAGCAGCAGCCCTCGAAGCCACCCCCGCAGCACCACGCGTTAGGGGTTAGGGGCGCTTGCGAGGCGTTGCGAGGCCAGCCGTGGCCGCAGGGGGCGCGGGGGCCGCGAGGGGCAGTCTAGTCGGGGCAGTCCGCAGCTGGGCGGGGAGCGCCGCAAAGTTTGTGCGGCGAAAAACTGTTGGAGCGACGCGCGGGGCGGAGCGGGCCGAGGAGGCTGGCACGCTGGCGCACGTCAAGCTGTGGCGTGGCAATAAGCGAGGGCTTGCGTCGCCCGGCGCCCTTAGATAGCGCGCGCACACACACACACTCACACACTCAAACACACACAGAGGAGCGCACGCAACCTTACATCCCTCCGTCACACACACACACACACACACACACACACACACACACACACACACTCATCGCCCCGGGCCACGATCCGCCGCACACATACTCTTCCGCCTTGTTACTCCTCGTAAGGCTTGAGCCCCGCTGGCCGTGCTTGGCCATGGCCGGCACGGTCCTGCTGGCCGTGCTGCCGTGCTGGCCGTGCTGGCCGTGCTGGCCCCGCTCCGGACAGCACCGTCCAGCCGCTTCGCCGCTTCCTCCGCGCTCTATCAGCTTTTATTACATGATCGAAAAAGCCGTCACCATAATACTATACGAGTGCGGCCCGTCGCTCTTCATCGCCTCGGCATCCCCTCCCTCCCTCTGTCTCTCTCTCTCTCTCTCCCCCTGCGAGACGGCCCTGAGGCACATAGCACAGCGGTCGTCGCTCTGTCCCTCTCGCACTCGTGGAGCGTCGCGCGGGGGTGCGAGAGAGAGGGAGTGGTGAGGGCCGTGTTCGGAATGGAGCTGCAGGCTCGGACACTTGCCCCTTGAAACGCCTTGAGCGCAGTGAGCCGTGGCCCCAGCCGTGGCCCCAGCCTCCGGGCCGGCCGCCCTCGAACAAATAAGTTGCTTGGTCAGTAGTGCGGCGGGGCCAGGGAAGAAGCACAGAGGACGAAGCGCATTCTTAGGCCATGAAATTATTTTCCATTTTCCGAGCGCGACCAGCGTCCCTTGCGTTGAGTGTGTTTTGGAGACGCGTGCGCCCAATATCCACACGGAGACGACCGCCTCCGTATTGTCCACCTCGAGTCCACGTCGTCGAGCCGTCCAGTGGCCGCCTCGCCTCGCCGCGCCGCGTCGATATCGTCTCTCTCTCGTTTTCAAACCCAAACCGTTCCGAAGAAGATGCCTCCGTTCTCGTCCGCCTATTAGTATGTCCCCCGTGTCGCAACGCCAGCACGACAGCGCGGCACCGGCCGACACAGGGCCGCCCGGCGGCCGCCAGGACACAAAGGAATGCAGCAGGCTGAAGACGAGCAGCGCTCTGTCTCTCTCGGGCCCAACGCCCCACTGTGTGAGAGAGGCGGCACGACGAAAGCACTGTCCGGAGCCAACCTGCAGTCTGCAGCCGCGTCGCGTCGCGTCGTGGCCACCGACGGGGCCTTGATCATGACGCCGAGGGCGCGCCGCCGCCGCGCCCACACCGCAGCAGCGCGCCCCGAGCTGCCTCCGAACGGCGCTTCGTCTCTGTCTCGCTCTCGCCACTGTTGAGGAGCACTGTGAGTGCGAGAAGGACCGAGCAACAAATGCACTGTTTGCTTCAGTTTGAAATCGCTCTACTGCAGCCGGCGCCCAAACTTGCCCAAACTCTTTGCTGGACAGTGTGGCTATGGCTCGCCCGCGGCGCCAAAAGGGCCTCGACGGCGGCCAGCACAAGCACAGTGCTTTAGTCGCGCTGTCCCTCTCGCACTCATGGGGCGGGCCGAAGGGATGCGAGAGAGAGACAGCGCGGAGGGCGGAAAGGGCGGCACTGCCTTGGTTGGTACTGCCTTGGCGCGGTGCGTGCGGCTGCAGAGATTGCCTGGTAATGTGATTCCGGGGCTGGTTTTGTCAAATGGCGCGGCCCAAGTGGCGGCGAGGCGAGGCGAGGGGGACGCCGTCGACGGCGCTCCAGCATCAACCTTGTCTCCATTTCTCCGGTTAGTTTCCCCCTCCTCGCTCGGGTGCGCTCCAATACTGGAGAGGTACATTCCCAAAGTACTCACATATATGAACCAGGCGCCACCGGAACCGCGTCGAACACCGTTTTCGCAGACAAACTCTAGCTTCTGCCGCCGAACGGACCGAGGTCGCCGCTCTGTCTTCGCCGCACTCACGGGGCGTCCCGTAGGGGTGCGAGAGAGGCGGGGTGCCGTTCAGAGTCCGCTGGCTCGCGGTCCACGCCGTCCACGCCGTCCACGCCGGGCAGAGTGCGACAGAGAGTGAGGGCGCGGAGGGGGCGCGAGGGCCGCCAAAGTGTTCCGCCGAGATCGTTTAAATTTCCCTAATCGCGTTTACATTGTCGCGACGACACTGGCAACGCATGACAGACGGGCGGGGCGAGGCGAGGCGAGGCGCGGCGGGGCGGGGCGGGGCGGCCTTTGAAGACGACGACGTCGCCGTCCTATTCCAGATATTGCGCCTCTCGCTTGCCAGGAAAACAGCGCGGCGCCGCGCGGCGCGGAGACCTCCCAGAGGGTGTATCAGGTTAGTCACCGCCGCGCCCGCGGCCCCGAGGCCCGCGGCACGTAGCCTGAAGCTGGCCGCCATCGTCTACAGTCTGCCCCCCGCCCTCTCCTCGTTCCGCAGTTCCACCTCCTCATTGCCAGGAAACACAAAGGGATAGACTCGATTCCGCCTCCATTTCACCCCCGCCGCCCCGCCTGACAGTTTTTCATACCGAAACCCTCCGCTCGGGGACGGCGGACGGAGACGCAACAATCTTGAATCTTGATGGAAGGTTTCCGCGCTCCGCGCCGCGCGTTCGCTGACCTCGTCGCGGGGCTGGACTGCGCAGGCTGCGCCGTGGCTGCGCTTGTCTCCGCCCGGCTCCGCGCTGCACCGCGACATGGAGTCTCCCACATTCTGTTCATTCCGTTCGTCTAGCCTAATGAAATCAAATTGGAGGAGTCCGCGCGGCGGACACTAGCCGCCGGCCATCCCCGCCTACCGGACGTACATCACGCAGCTGTCCGCGCGCCAATCATAAACGGCTTCCTGCCCCGCGGTGCCGTCGTTGGCGTCGTCGTTCGGCCCCCCCTCTCTCTCCCTCGCACTCACGGGGCGTCCCTGCGTGTGCGAGCGAGACAGCGCGACGCTCTGTTCAGCCTGCTGCGCCGTGGAAACCGGGAACCGTGCATGTGGGCCGACTGATGCCGAATCACGTCGGCCTGGACCGAGGCCTGGACCGAGGCCTGGACCGGGGCCTGGACCGAGGCCCGGATGGCCCAGACGCCCCATGTGTGCGACAGAGACCGCCAGCCCAGGCCGTCGGTCTGCTCGTCGCGTCGGCGCGTGCGGCGGCGAGGACATGAAAGCCCTATCATTGTCATCACGGTTCGATTAGCACCGCAGCGCCGCCGAGAGCAAAAAGAATGAGTCTGGCGGCGGGGAAAGGCAGGGGGGAGCGAGAGGGAGACGGAACGTGCCGACAGACGTGCCCGTCAACACGGACAATTATCATTTCGGCGGATGAAAAACCCGAAAACGGCGAGGCGAACAACACCGAGAATAATGAAGAGGCCGACGTCAGTCTGCAGGCGGTGAATGAAACCAAGCAAAGTGGAGCAGGAGGAGAGTTTGCGGCGGAGCAGCAGGGCTTCGAGCGGGGATTGGGCGGCCGCGCGGACCAAGGTGCGGGCGCGGAGTGGACCTCGCCTCTTCGGTTGGCTCCGTTCCTTCGACCCTTATTTGAAATATGGACTGGCGGGTCGGAGCGACATAACACTCCCGATAAATAACGCTGCTTCGCTGCTTCGGCGGCGCGTGGGCGGGGCAGAGGCCGTGCGTCGCGCCGAGGCGGTTCGCCGGCCACAGAGCTTGCCCCTTGTCGTTGGCCAGCCTGGCCCACTTGCCGAGAGTCATCCCGTTGTGGACAGCGCAATCTTGACTCACTGTCAGCCAGCCACAGTGTGCCCACACGACGAAGGCCCCGGCCGGCGCCACCACGGCCCTCCATAATAAACGAAAACGAAAGTGAATGTTGAACAAGGCGCAGTCCAAGATGTTTCCCTCCAATTAGCACCTTGGACGCACTCCGCGGGAGTGTGTGTGTTGTATGCGCGTGTGCGTGCGTGTCTGTGTTTGAAAAAGTGGGAGGGGAAGGGAGGGAGGGGCTATGAGGAGGAATGCCGTTAACCACCTTGAACCATTCGCCATTTCAGTTCGAGGCGTTTTCTGAGAATCTCACCCTCCTTGTCCCTGCACGCGATTCCCCCCCCCCCCTCTCTCTCTTTTCCCGCGACCGGTGCCCGGCTGCTCTTCCCCCTTGGGACTGTGCTCAGCCTCCCCAAACGGTTCGGCCGTAAACGCGGCTTTGGGTTGCGTTCGCTGGGGTTTATTTTCAAGAAAATTTCTGAGCGGGGTGGCGGCAGCGCAGTGCGTGCTTCAGCCGCAAGAAAGGACACCGCTGACTCTTCCGCTAGTCTCGGGCCTCGGTAGATCCGATGCAAGTTTCTGCAAGTCAATATAAAGCAGCGGATATAAGCAGAGTCGCAAAGTCAGCAAAGGCCACTTCACTTATATGATTCGATGATTGATAATCATCGCATGTGTGACGAAAGGAGGGAGTCGCATGGTGCATACACATCAGTAAAGACTAATTTTAAGTTGGCATCGACGTCGTCAATGATTGTTCTCGTGAGTAGTGTGCGCTCCTTTTACTTCACCAGGGCGTAAAACGCGTTTGGGTTGAGAGTTTGGAGAGTTTGGGGCCAAGAAAAAAGAATTTTATTCGAACCAGAAAATAAGAAAGAGGTCTTACTACATTTTAAACTTGAACCATGTCCTTTTTAGTTGTAAACTTAAAATATGTTAGAAATACTTGCGAACTAGGTCCCTGTCGGTGTAGATAGGGCTGTAGTAACCGCGAATCAAGTCCTTCTCAGCATCAGCAGCATAGACTGATCTAAGGTACTCGCGAGCAAGGTCCTTTTCGTTGTAAAAGCGCTTTGCATACTCGTTAATAAGGTCTTTTTCGGTGTAAACGGGCTTCTCGTACTCGCCCACTAGGTCCTTGTCGGCGAAGATCGCCTTGGCGTACTCGTGAGTGGGGACAAATTTAGCGTAAACGGGCTTCGCGTACTGGCTAACGAGGTCCTCTTCGGTGTAAACGGGCTTCACGTACTCGCGAACGAGATCCTTTCCGGTGTAAACGGGCTTCACGTAGTCGCGAACGAGGTCCTTTACGGTGTAAACGGGCTTCACGTAGTCGTGAACGTGGTCCTTGTCGGCGAAGACGGACTTGAGGTACTCGCGAATGGCTTCCTCCCCAGAGTGAACTGGCAGGACGATGCCGAAGCTCCTGGACTCCACGTTGTCCACTTCGAGGTCCCTGTCGTTCGGGTAGTTGTCACGGACGACCGCGAGGACTCCCTTCTCCATTTTGAAGACGCCCAGCTCCTTGAGGTCGGCGACGCGGGTGTTGCCCTTGATGGAGTCTGTGTCCACGATGAGGACGTACGGGTAAGGCCAGGAGTTCTGCGGGGAAAGCCCTCGGTCAGTACATGTCAGTTTGCCAAGAACGATTCGTCGTTAAGTTCCGTGAGGTTGAGCTACTTACCTCTGCGATGCGGACAGCGGTGTTGAGGTTGTAAGCAGGGAGGTGGATCTGATCCAGTTTCTTGAGCATCTCTGGCACCTGCAGGTGGCTTCCGGCGCTGAGGTACATGAACGACTTCTGGCGACCGTTGTTCAAGTATTGAACCAAAGGGCGCACCTCCTCGGGGTCGTAGACGTTGAGGAACTTGAAGCCGCTGCAAATGATGCAATGTCAATAGAGACGTCACCTTCCAGCACATGCCTTTGCACTAGTTCACAGTGCACTTACTAAGGGAGCAGGAAGACGTTCATCTTGTCCTCGACTCCATCCTTGAAGGCCACCATCACAGGGCCGTTCAGGACCTTCCTCACGCCACCCATCTCATGGGCGCGCCGGCTTTCGGGCACGTTCGGGTCACCTGTGAAAATCATTGGGTGATTAGAAGAACGAAGCCAGTCAATCCTCTGACTTTACAATCTACAACGCTCCCAGCCGAATAATTTAGTCGATGGGTTATGGTGGATATCAAATCGTCAAACAGTAAACTTGTCATCAGCGAATCATCTGTTCGCTACTTTTCCTTTCTAGATTTCTACGCAACCAAAAATCTTCTCCCGCTGTTTCCTGCGACTACTCACTGTAGAGGCTGATCATCTTGGCGCCAGACTCCAGCTCCACGCGGGGGGCCTCCACGGGCGTGGCGGTTTTCTCAGCGAGTTTCACTGAGGGCTGCACAGTGGATTTCTCCGCGAGTTTCACTGCGGGCTGCACAGTGGATTTCTCCGCGAGTTTCACTGAGGGCTGCACGGCCGACTGCTCGCTAAGGTGCTCGACGGGGTGCTCCACGACCACGCCGGCGGCGGCCACGGCCGCGAGGCCCAGGACGGCGAAGAACAGCTGCATGGCGGCGCTGCTGGAGTGTGCACCGTCCGACCGCGCTGCGGGTTTTTGTACGCCCTAGCCTGCCATGGGCGACCGATAAAGACAGCGCTAATGTGCGTGGCTCTCTCCGTCCGCTCCCTATCGCGAATGGCAAATCCCCGAGAGTCCCACCTACGCGTATAAAAACTCGGTTGCGAGGGCACTCGGCGAGTCAGTCTCAGGCAGCAGTCATGAACGCATTCGTCACCGCATTGGTGGTCGCCCTGGGCGTGGCTTCGGCCACGGCCATGCACGACGCGAGGATCATCAGCCTCTACGGTGAGTACAGCATCGACGAGTGGCACGCGTGGAGTGGACCAGTTGTTTCACTTTCTTTGACGATGGTGAAAACGTTACGTTCATGTTTAACTAAGGAGCCGACCTCTTTCGGTTTTAGGCACCCCCAGCACCTTTGGCAGGTCTGACGAGTTGAGCGGCCTGAAGGAGGCTTTTGACCGCCACGCGATCGTGGCCTTCAGGAACCCTCGCGACAACGAGATCAGCGCCTTCCTGGTCCCCAAGTACGTGTTGGACTTGCACTGCCATACCGCACATGTGGCGAGAAAAGGAGTACTCGACCGCGTACTCGACTCACGCTGTTTCCTTTGCAGTGGCATCAGAGGTATCTTTGACCCGTCCAACGTGGAGCTGCAGGCACTTCGCGAGTTCATGTACTCCGATGTCCCCAAGACAGCCCTCACCCTCAACTCAGCTCGCTACCTGAACATCCCCGAGATGTCCATGCCCATGCGCAAGCTCCGCCTGCCCACCGACAACCTGGACACCAGATTCCTATTCGACCAGGTTTGTAACATTTTAAGTATACCTACTGCTTTTAAAGCTGTGATAAGCTATGAGAGGAAAAACTAAATGGTTCGCGCTTTTCACTCACAGGAAAAGCAACAGTACCCGATCATCCTGTTCGTCAACAAGGACAGCGTTCGCTCTGGCAACGACTGGCTGGGCCACCTCACTCGTTTGGGTGACTTCAGCTTCAGCAACGGTGACGTCAAGATCGTCAACGACTTCTCCATCCCACTCAACGATCGCGAGAACGTGAAAGCTGTCTTCGGCGGGAAGTTCATCAACCCTATCGTCGGAGAGAAGGACCTGGTTACCAAGTACATCAACCCTACCCTCGGAGAGAAGGACCTGGTTGCCAAGTTCATTTACCCCACCCTCGGCGAGAAGGACCTGGTTACCAAGTACATCAACCCCACCCTCGGAGAAAAGGACCTGGTTGCCAAGTACATCAACCCCATCGTCGGCGAGAAGGACCTGGTTGCCAAGTACATCAACCCTACTTTCGTCGAGAAGGACATCCTCCGCAAGTACGTCAACCCAATCTACGGCGAGAGGGACATTATGACCAAGTACGCCAACCCCGCTATCGTCGAGAAGGACATCCTCCGCAAGTACGTCAACCCAATCTACGGCGAGAGGGACATTATGACCAAGTACATCAACCCCACTTTTGATGAGAAGGACATTATGACCAAGTACATCAACCCCATCTACGGCGAGAAGGACATTATGCAAGTACGTAAAACCCAATCTACGGCGAGAGAGACTTGGTTACCAAGTACATCAACCCAATGTACGGCGAGAAAGACATTATGGCTAAGTACGTCAACCCCATCTACGGCGAGAGGGACCTGCGCAGCAAGTACGTCGAGCCCATCTACAGCGAGAAGGACCTGGTTCGCGAGTTCTTGTAGCTCGTTAATGAGGGACTTTCTTAGGAGGAAGGTCCGGCTTTGATTAATGAATGAAGATCACGAACCTTACGTCGACCACACTAGCACTTAAAAGACCCATGTTCGAAGGATACTTGAAAGGAGAGTAGTATGTATTTCATTGTCTTTTTGTTTTCTACTCTGTTCTTCCTTGCTTTGTAACTTGGTATGTGCTCTTCGTTCGCAATAAAATAATGTGTCCACAATCCATTGCATAGCAACCAACTTATACACCCCTCTGCCCTGACGCTGTGCACTGGGAGGCTGGAAGCGTGAGCATCACTCTGAGGCATATTCGGGCGTGTTCTAGGCAACTACAACAGTTCTGCCGACTGGTGGGAGGTCCCGTCCGTTAACACACTTCCTTTCGGGCGTGTAAGTAGTCTTGTGTACCCCATCGAGATTAAATCGGCTGCACAGGCCGCCACTCAGCGCACACCACTGGGGCTGGACCGCCCCTCTGGACGTTTATTGCGTTTGGCCGCCACTCGCCGGCCCTGCGGCCCGCCCCCTTGTCGGCTTCGGACTAGCAGCGGGAGTCCGCGCCCCCGCCAAAGCATTTTTCTCTTCCCCTGCTTTCTGGTCCCACTGACTTACGACTCCCTGATCAGACAGTCTACGACGCGTTTGTCTAGTAGTGAGCTGCTTGCGAAGCCTCCGCAGACTTCTCTCCACACAGAATCATGATGCTCTCTCCCTCTACCGCTGTAAACAACCAGATAGTCTCCAAGTCGATGTCCCAGCCTGTCAGCTTCCACCAGAAAGGGCTTCAACCACGTAAAGTGTCTATAGGGTACGTACGCGCCAGTTGATTAGAGCGTATATATTGCATGCAGGGTTAGACTTGGTCCTGAAAGATTCAGGGCCGTAACGCGTCCCTGAGGTAGCCGGACACCCGTTTCCAGGACGGGAATGGCGAAATTCAACCAGTTTCCCGTTTGGTCCTGGAAACGGGTGTCATTGGCGACGTTTGTCCCCGTTTCCAGGACGGTTCGGAATTTTTTGGGGCTCTCGGTCCTGGAAACGATTCGGGGGGCCCCAAAGACGCCGAAGTAAGACCAGTTCGCACCTGGTAGCTTGCACATGAACTACTTTAAAACCCGCTGGGGCAATGATGCGCCATTCCCGCAGTGCGTTTCAGGGAAAAAAATCGGCAGCAAAAAGTGGCAATACGAAAGTCTAAAGGGAGACCCGCCGATCAGCTTCGGTGTTCTTAGGGGAAACCCGGGGCCTTCATCCGACGCATCCCTGCCGCGCAATTCGACAAATTAATGGAGTTCGTATTGGGGGGCCCACCCGAAGTGCGCGCGGTTTCTGTGGTACAGTGAGAGTCCAGATTCAGAGGCCTTACCTCAGAGGGGTCACATTGGGTATTTGAACCCGCGACCCCGAGTGCCGAGTCTAGTCAACTCCTCTACCCTGACCGCTCAGCCACCGAACCAGCTTGTCGGCGGCGACGTCGCAACTCCTCTTTAGCTGCCGTTCGAGAAATCTGGGCCCGAAAAAAGGGTACCTGGAGCGGTTTTCGAACCCGGGGCCTGCCGCTTCCCACAACATGCTCTTAACCACTGAGCCACCGGGGGCACCACGGCACCCGCTCTATCTGCGCCGGTACTCAATCTTCTGTGGATATACCTCCCGAATCAATTGGTCGCCGAAAAAATTGTACACTACCGGTCCCGAAACCCCGGGGCCTCCCGCTTCCCGCGACATGCTCTTAACCACTGAGCCACCGGGACGCCATGGCACCGGTCCTGCCTGCGCAGGTACCCAATCTTCTCTGGATATACCCCCCAAAAAAATTGGTCGCCGAAAAAACTGTGTATACTACCGGTCCCGAAACCCGGGCCTGCCGCTTCCCACATCATGCTCTTTACCACTGAGCTACCGGAAAACCATGGTGCTCGCTCTGGCAGCGCTGGTACTCCATTTCCCCTCCGGATAGACCTCCTCAAGAAGTTTGTTGCCGTTGCCGAAAAATTTGCTCATGGCACTAGTCTCGAACCTGAGACCTGCCAGTCAGGGAAAGGAGGACTCTAACCACTGCGCCATCAGGTTGCTATGCACGCCACCCACCTAGCGCCAAACTTTAATAGCCACCCATCTTGCTTGATGCTGGACAAATTATAAGTTCGGCGCTAGGAGAGCGGCGCTTATAGCAAACTGGTGGCGTAGTGGTTAGAACGCTGCGTTCCTGACTGGCAGGTCTCGGGTTCGAGACTTGTGCCATGAGCAAATTTTTCGGCAACGGCAACAAACTTCTTGAGGTCTATCCGGAGAGGATTGATACCAGCGCTGGCAGAGCAAACACCATGGTCCTCCGGTAGCTCAGTGGTAAAGAGCTTGATGTGGGAAGCGGCAGGTCCCGGGGTTTGGCACTGGTAGTATACACAATTTTTTCGGCGACCAATTGCTTGGGGGGGTATATCGAGAGAAGATTGGGGGACCTGCGCAGGCAGGGCGGGTGCCATGGCGTCCTGGTGGCTCAGTGGTTAAAGCATGTCGCGGGAAGCGGGAGGTCCCGGGTTCGGGACTGGTTATACACAATTTTTCGGCGACCAATTGCTTGGGGGGGTATATCGAGAGAAGATTGGGTACCTGCGCAGGCAGGGGGGTGCCATGGCGTCTCGGTGGCTCAGTGGTTAAGAGCATGTCGCGGGAAGCGGGAGGTCCCGGGGTTGGGACCGGTACTATACACAATTTTTTCGGCGACCAATTGCTTCGGGAGGTATATCCACAGAAGATTGGGTACCTGCGCAGGCAGGGCGGGTTTCCATGGCGTCCCCGGGGGCTCAGTGGGTTAAAAGCATGTTGTGGGGAAACGGCAGGTCCCGGGGTTTGAGACCGCTCCAGGTACCCTTTTTTCGGGACCAGATTTCTCGAACGGCAGCTCAAGAGGATTGCGACGTCGCCGCCGACAAGCTGGTTCGGTGGCTGAGCGGTCAGGGTAGAGGAGTTTACTAGACTCGGCACTCGGGGGGCGCGGGTTCAAATACCCAATGTGACCCCTCTGAGGTAAGGCCTCTGAATCTGGGGCTCTCACTGTACCCCAGAAACCGCGCGCACTTCGGTGGGCCAGCCCAATACGAACTCCACTAATCTGTCGAATTGCGCGGCAGGGATGCGTCGGATGAAGGCCCCCGGTTCCCATAAGAACACCGAAGCTGATCGGCGGGTCTCCTTGGACTTTCGTATTGCCACTTTTTGCTGCCGATTTTTTCCATGAAACGCACTGCGGGAATGGCGCATCATTGCCCAGCGGTTTAAAAGTAGTTCAGTGTGCAAGCTACCAGGTGCGAACTGGTCTTACTTCGGCGTCTTGGGGGACCCCGGCCGAGGGAAAAATTCCCCCGGTTTCCAAAGGGAAAACCCCCAATGAAGCCCAACCCAAAAATTTCCCAACCCCCTCCTGGAAACGGGTGTCCGGCTACCTCAGGGACGCGTTACGGTCCTGAATCTTTCAGGACCAAGTCTAACCGTGTGCAGATATCCTCCACTGAAATGCACACAATTTGATTTTACGGAGTACGCGCGTGCGTGACACTGACCTCCTGGTGGACATCCCACCCCAATACTATACTGCCTGCTGGTACCTGCAAACCAAACCCCCCCCCCCCCGCTCCCCCACCCACACACAACAAAACACACACACACACACACAACCACACACACACACACGTAAAACTCCCCCTCTCTCTCTCTCTCTCTCTCTCTTTTCCTCCCCACACACACCCCACACACACTCGCTCTCCCACAGAGTCCCGTGCGCGGCGATGATCCTGCCGAAGCCGCCTGCTCCCGGGCGGGGCAGGCGGGGCAGGCGGCCGCTGAGTGGAGCCTGAACGGCCTGAACGCCGCCAGGGGGAATGACCCTCGTCCTCCCTCGTCCTGTCCCACTCGAGCTAATTCCTGTCTTCCGGGTAGACGCGGCAACGCAAGGGGACTGGGGCAGGACGACAAGTGCCAGGATGTGGCAGGACCGACCACGACAAGCCGCCGCCGGACCCCGTCCGCCCCGCCGCGCTGTGGCCGCGGGACGATATGCGGTCCACTCCAAACCAACTGTGCCCCCTCCCCCTTTTTACCACAGAGTGAACAGAACAGCGTGGTTCGATTTGCGTGTCGGTTGGGCTCAGTGCATGGCGCGGAGATGCAACAGTCAAGCAATTTTCTGTGTTCATATTTTATTTTGCAGAAATAATACAGATAACATGTCAATTTTCGTCAATTCGCGGCAGGCGCGCAATGCTCACGGTGCGAAACGTTCGCGCGAAGAGTTCGCGGCGCGAAAGCGCGAAAAGTTCACATTAGGCGCGAAGAGTTCGGGTAGCTGCTCCGCTTCCTGACGTCGATGCCATTCTGGGCTTTAAATGCTTCTTTTCTTAAGGTCTTGACACAAAAAAAAAGTTTGAAAAACGTGCAACAACTCGTACACTACAAATCTAACAGTCTACTTAGCACGCACTTACAAATGCATGCTTGCAAGTACACACTTACAAACGCATGCTTGGCCAAGCATGCACTTACAAATGCATGCTTGGCAAGTACACACTTACAAACGCATGCTTGGCGCCGTATAACTCCATGCTAAGCATAGGCGTTTGTAAGTGTGTACTTGCCAAGCATGCATTTGTAAGTGCATGCTTGGCCAAGCATGCATTTGTAAGTGCGTGCTAAGTAGACAGTTAGGTTTGCAGTGTATGGAAGCAATCGCAGAAGTCAGTTTTGGGCCATTTTCAGGTGCATATTCATTTTTAATGTGGCTTTTCTCCTAAATGGGCACAATAATGTGGTAAAAACTCAATTTCGTGATAAATAAAGTTATTCTCTTCTTCGGGCTCCTTCGTGTACTCCATCTTGCTTAGGAATAAGGGGTGAGTCAGAGGGCAACTTAAACATATAAATCCCCAACCCTTTTACAAAAAACTTAGAGCAAAGCAGAGAGCTAGCCCTTACGTCCCACGTTGGACAGCATACTGGTGAAGGAGTACCAGGCGCGAAGCGCGTTGCCAGCGCTGCTCAGGTTGAGCGGTCCAAGCCCCTTGAAGCTCAGTGTGG